ACACACACACGCGCGCACACACACACCCACACACACGCACACAAACACACGCACACACACACACACACACACACACACACACACACACAAACACGCACGCACGCACACACACACGCACGCGCGCGCACACACACGAACACGCACACGCACACGCACACGCACGCATGCCCACACAGACGCATATATATATATATATATATCTATATATATATATATATATATGTATATATGGGTGCGTTATTTAATGATACTTGCATGATATCGACAGGGCCGCGGCCGTATTGGTGTTAGCTGCCGGTGTCCTTACCTTGGTTGTCGGTTTCTTAGGCTGCTGTTGCATGATGGATTGCAAAAAGTTGTTTGGAAAGGTAGGGCTTTAATGCGCACTCTGCTACTTATAATCATAATAATGATGCAGTAGTGACAATGATTAGACACTAATAGTCATCTATCCCCGGTGCCTAAGATAACACCAGGAGTGAATAATAGAGTTATTCTATATGAATCTATTATTCACTCCCGATAACGCTAATCTTAATCCCAATCACAATGAGAGTGTATGACGTAACAATCCCGAGCTACGTGATCTCGCGGAGTGGAGGATGATTTGTATTTTAGCGTTTGAATAAAGGTAGTGTTGACATTTGACTGTTGTCCATCGAACGTTTATAAATGTCTATATATACTTGCCGTTCCCGTTTAGTAACACCGATATTATTTAGTAGGTAATGTCTCAAGTGTGAGTGAATTTCATAACGTGATTTCTTTGGTTGCAGTATTTCACTTGCCTGCTTGTCATCACCATTGGCGTTCTGGCATTTGTCTACAAAAGCAAGGTATATGTGCGTGCGTGCGTGCGTGCGTATACCTGTGTGTGTGTGTGCGCGCGTGCGTGTGCATGGGCGTGTGGGCGCATGTATTCGTGCATACACGCGTGCGTGTGCGTGTGGGCGTGTGTGCGTCTTCATTATATTTTATATTTATATATTATTATTTACATTATATATTGATATTATTCTTTACATAATATTTGATATTATTATTACATAAATTCTATTGAGCAGCAAAGACGAAAAGAAATTGACTTAATATAAATAGGGGGGCCTAAGAGTTTAACTAACTAGTTTTTTTCTACTTCAGATCCGTGATAAGCTTGACACGTCGATCACCGATGCCTTAGCGACCGACTATACTGAAGCACGACCAGACACCTTCAGCGAGTCATGGGACAAGATCCACCAAGACGTAAGGCCTTGTATCACGCCTTCATTCCTTTCAATCACACCCGCACACCGATCCGGCGCTGATCCAGTGATGAACGTGCCCGTCTCTGCTTGCACGCACGCTCGTATAATAGGATACATGTTATATTAGAAGTGAAGAATCACAGTAATATAATCACAGTTATAATCACATAAATAATCACAGTTGTAATCACAGTTTAATCACAGTTATAATCACAGTTATAATCACAGTTATAATCACAGTTTAATCACAGTTATAATCACATAAATAATCACAGTTTGGGATTATTGACTCCTAAGGCCGTAGCCTGCGGGGGGGGGAGGCAAGGGGGGCAGCTGGCCCCTAGATTTTGGAGCAAAAAAAAAAAAATCTACTAAAAGAGAATTGTCGTAGTCAGAATGAAGGCTGTAAATGTACTCAAAAGTGCCTCAAATACCATCTCCTGCGATCTACATTTTTAAAATTTTCTGTGGGAGGACCCCCAGACCCGGCCCCACCTGTGTCTCACCCTTTCTGTTAAATCCTGAATCCACCACTGCCCTCCCCCTTAAGGAATTTACTCAGCATACGGCCCTGACTCCTGGTTATATCATTAGCCAAATGGACTCATTCATCCTTGCAACTTTTGTCAATCGTTTTATCCTACTAAGAGAGCATGGTCTAGACAAACATACAGATTAGTTACATAAATAGGGTGCGTGTGTAACAGCAGTTGGTGCGCGTATAGTTTCACTCAGTGTGTAAACATGCGGTTGTTGATCACGCATTACAGTGACTATAATTAAGCGTGAATCACACGTGATAGAAAAGTATACTTGAGCTTTCTAAAATAGGGCTTTGGAATGTCCGGCCCCTTCGCCAAAGTACTTGCCCCAAAGTAACTTCGCCAAAATGGTGTCCTTCATCGGAGGCGCATGATGCTGAACATGACGATTTTATTACAGTACTTCTGTTGCGGTTACAACAATTACACTGATTACAAAGGGAACCCAAATCTGGAGGTGCTTAACTGGGATTTCCCGAAATCCTGTTGCGTGGAGGCGGACGGAAAGGTAAACCCATACAGCCGATGTGCTCCCGTTTGATATAATATAGGAATATTACTCATTAGATTCATAACGGCGTACGTGTGCAGTATGTACGAATGACTCTGTGATAATACGAGTGCTTAGTAAGAAACAGTCTGGCTATACGCGTCCCAGAAAAGACAGTACCATATTGAGACAAGAGCAATCGGAGATAGCAAACCTCCACCACAGCGTAACAGTCCCACCATCTTGCTGGTGAAATTTGAAGAAATTTGAAGAAAAAAAAAAGAAAAAGATCCAGGATTTTGTTTTATGAATTTTGAATGCGTCCGAAGTCTTCCACACAAAAAAATCCTGGATCCAGATCTGGATCCGAATCACCACCAAAATCTAATCGATTGGTTCTTGGCCCAAGACCAACCCGTCCAAAATATTGATGCGCTGCTACATCGAACCCGTCTCTTGTATTCCAGCCTACAGACGAAGCACAATGCAAATCTATGACTGATGAATTCTTCTACAAGGACGTAAGTACATGGCGGCACATGTCATGAGATTCTATTGCGTTAGTCGCCTTGTTATGTGCTGCTTCACAGATGTAATTGCCGTTATATGCATATATACACACGCACACAGTGCCACACACACACACACACACACACACACACACACACACACACACAACAACACACACACACACACACACACA